AAAACCGCGACGCTTTGCCCTACTTGGCTCGCTGCATAACAGAACTGCTAGCACAACTCCCTTTAAAATCGCCTAGATCTGCGTCTTCGGTTGGCGGTCAACCAGATTCCATCAATGCCGTTGTTGACGAACTTATCCTCGTTATAAAGGTTTGTTTACTTGTCCTTTAAGTCTCTATAAATGCTGTCGGCAGCTTTTACTTTCTGCAGAAAAAGCGTAAAATAAAATTTATTTTATTCATTTTTGTTAGTCTGGTTTGATGTACAGGGTGTCCACGAAGTCTGGGTACATAGGAGATGAATACATACCTTTAGAACAAAACAGTTTCATTTAATTATAATGTTAAAAAATTATATTTTCAATAAGATTTCCATCAGAGCGAGTCAGCAAGTCAGAATGCAAGAGTGCAAGTCAGTCACAGAAAAAGGCTCCAGGTTATTTATTCAGTGCGCATAGCGAGGAGGCGTCAGTATTCACGGTCCAGTCAGATAGACGGAAAATCGATAATCATTGACGCGTTGTCAAGCCACGGCGTGGGAATTTGCGCTCCAGCTGCGCTGAGAGCCTAAGCGTTGTTGACTAATCATGGGACTCTGCCTTCCCAATAAAAATAAATAAATATTAAAATTCCTATGTACCCAGACTTTGTGGACACCCTGTATAATTGTATCCGCATGTCCTACATAATTGCAGTCGAAAAGCAAGTAGCCGCTAAATAGTCTAACAGAATAAACGACTCCTCACTTATTGTTAGTAGTATAATAATTTGAGCGATCACACGCAAGCGATTTCGTCCGTCATGTGCCCCATAAGCTGCGTATGACCAAATAAGTGCATGAGGCGACCAAATATCTTGGGACACATGCGCTCGCACACTTGTTCGGATGGGGTTTCCTCTCTTGATAGTCCAGTTTCTTTCTTCGTGGGCCTGTGCGCTGCGGGAACGTGTGATTGATTTAACAATGCTCTGTTTCCCCTGTTTGTTGCTAGTCTTTAGGGGACTCTGCACCGCTGATGCACGTTTCACTTAGCACTGCTTTTTGTTGTCCTTTCTTTGGTCTTTTTTCCGCTTGTTCTTAGTGTGGTTGACTGTGATAAATCACAAATTTGCTTTCAGGAAAAGCCACCACCGCAAAATCACCGGCGGCGGGGTTCGTAAACAATGGCCGCGTTCATTTTGCAACAGCAGCACAGTTCAGCGTGTACAACAATTATCTATATAGAATAAAACTCGAAATGCGACAGCCAGAAACCCGCGAAGAGTTGGGTGCGCATTTATTTATGGAAACGCCGTAAAAAACCCCAGACCGCAGCCATTCTTTGCTAGGACACACATGTGCCCCAAGCGGTTGAAGTTGGCGCCTTTGGCAAATTAAGTCGTTAGGAGCGATTATCTAATTGTCTAACGAGAAGTACCTTAATTTGTGTAAGTGACAAGACATAGTTGCTGCGTTAGTGGCTTAGAAACGCTGTCTTTATTTTCTAACGGTTCGAACTTAACTTTTTGTTTGCACACTCCCGGTCATCCTCGGAAATATGGCACTACCTACATTATGAAATCATAATCTATGGGACAGTGCGTGGATTGGTTTGAGCTTTCGCTCTCCTACAACAGGCCATCACCGGAGACTGTGCCTACAATAACAATAAACTGTTTTTGAAGTACGGGATAGACGGTGTGGGATGGCATGGAAGGGAAAAGGGTAGTGTTCGTGATAAGGTTGAGTCAACTGCTTCGTGACAGCATGCTTCTTTGGCCGCGAACTGCGCCGCGCGAACGAAGTGTGTGATAGCAGGGGGTGGCATCAACGTCTCTGTTGATAGCGTTGTGGTCTGACACCCAGTATTTGTTGCTCCCTCTTAGTGCTGACTCTCGCAATTCTCCACGTGCTCGCGAAGTGAAATCGTTGGCCTTCTTTCAGGGTGTGGGTAGCGATCTGAGACAACGACTGGCTTCTGCATACTGCTCGTCTGTCCTCCATTATTCGCGAACTAAGTAGTCGACCGATCTGCCTTCTTATCACGAACAACTTCCCCCCATCCTTAATCTCCCTTCCTTTTTGTTGAACTAAAAAAACCGCTCATTTGTTTTGTCACGGTCACAGTATCTGGTGATGACCTGTACGAAACCGTCCATTACACGCACTGTCCCAGTGATCGTGGATTCACCTTTTTCGTAACGCAAAGCTGGGTCTGGCATATTCGATTCCATTCTTGTAGTATTTTCTGTGGAAGCCCTGCCATCCGCCATATTAGCTGTTGTTTTTTTCATAAAGTGGCTGACAAGTGTCCTTTTTCTA